GCTCAGAGAACTGGTTGTTGGAAGAAAACTCCTCTTGTTTTTTTCCACTTTACAGGGCTAATCCTGTAAGGAAGGCAGGAAGGATACAATCTGGTGTTGTTTCTAGCCTCATTTTTATTGCCCTGCTTACAGAAACTGCCTCTCCCATTAACCCTTATTACATTGTAACAGCTAAGGCAAAGCGCCCATTGACGTGAGTGACATTGAGTTGGCTATGCCCACCCAGTCACATGACCACCAAGCCCCACCTACCCAGATGGTCATTAGGGCAGAGAACCGGTTGTTAAATTATTTGAATCCCACTACTGCAGGGAGGGATTATTTTCGGGGGAGGGCTTATTTAATTGAGCCCAAAACTTCAGTTTGCTAAGTGAGACAGTTTTTAAGCAAGTTTTGCCTCATTATATCAGATTTCTTGCCATAGTTGTTAAGTGAATCACAGCACTTGTTAAAGTTAGTAGCACTGTTGTTAAGTGAAACTGGCTTCCCCATTGACTTTACTTGTTAGAAGGTCACAAAAGGTGATCATGAGATCCCAGCTCACTGCAACAGTCATAAATACGAATCAGTTGTTAAGCGGCTGAATTTTGGTCACATGACCATGGGGATGCCGCAACCGTCTTAAGAGTGAAAAACAGCTATGAATCAGTGCCGCTGCAACTTCGAACTGTCACTAAATTAACTGTTGTAAGTCAAGGACTACCTGTAGTATACCATACACCCTTTCAAAAGAAAATGTGCAAATATAATAATTCACATATGAATGTGCTTCAGCTTCTGTTCTTAATTTCTCTAACTGCATGAGGAACTAATTACTTCTGGTAAATGCACACAAATTGAGAATAGGTGGTAAATCTGTGATTCTGACTTTTTCAGTAAAAAATAAAAGCTGTGTATGGTTTGACAATTACTCTTTCCTATTGATTATTTTGCTCCAATATGTGGGGGATGTAAGTAGATTTGAATGTTATAATCTATTTGAATTACTGCTGCAAGAGTAGAATTGCACGTGGTATGATCTTAATCCTCCAGCTTTGAAAGAATTGTGCTTTAAGGCCTGAAGTATAGCAATAATAATTACATTTATATCTAGTAAATTGTATTGATTACATTTATATTCTTCTTTCCTCTTAAAATGCCCAAAGAGCTTTATCTCCAAGGAGATGACAGATAGTACGTAGAAACGTACGAATGAACATAATCTCCTTTGTTTTTTGAAATACAAAATAGAATATATAAAGAAAATTCAGTCTCGTACAGATTCTTTATGTTATGAAAATTTCAAAAAAAATAATAATAACTTTACCTCTGTCATCTTCTCTCTTGTAGGATAATAAGTATGATGCCTCTGGGAACATTGCTTCTCCCTGTTCTGTGTTTCCTGGGGCCAACAATTCCACAGGAACTACGGTATCCCACCTTTTCGCGCAATGCCACCAAATTTATTCACTTTATTATGGATCCCGATTCAGGAACTCTGTATCTGGGGGCTACCAACTTCCTGTTTCAGTTGACCCCAGACCTGGTGATGGAAGAAGCGGTTTCCATGGGCCCCATCTTAGACAGCAAAGATTGTCTTCCTCCTGTTTTCAAGCAGGATTGTCCCCAAGCCCTGGAGACCGACAACTACGTCAAACTCCTGTTGATCAACTCGCTAGAGAAGGAGCTCATTGTTTGCGGCAGTGTGTGGCAAGGCATCTGTGAGAAGAGGACTCTCGGCTTCATTAAACATGTCCTCTTCCAACCCCGGACACCAGGAGACACTCAATATGTGGTAGCCAATGATCCCAATATTTCCACCGTGGGGCTGGTTGGTTACTCCAAAGAAAACGTGCCGCTTCTCTTTGTTGGCCGAGGATACACCAGTCGGGGCGTCGGAGGCAGTATCCCTCCCATCACAACTCGCAATCTCAGGGCCCACCCAGGAGAGGTGCCAGGGCCCGACTCCCACTCCATTTTTTCCTACGAGGAAACAGCCAAGTTGGCTGTAGGTCGACTCTCCGAATACAGCCACCATTTTATTAAGTCGTTCACTCACGGTTCCAGTGTCTACTTCCTGTTCTACCGGCGTGATCTCAAGTCGCAGTCCCGGGAGTACAAGACGTACATTTCCCGGATCTGTCTGGATGATGCCCACTATTACTCTTACGTGGAGCTGCCCTTGGTCTGCAGGACCCAAGAGAAGACCTATAGCCTCTTGCAGGCAGCCTATGTGGCACAGACAGAGGTAGAAGGACAAGTAGGAGATGCACTTTTTGTGACTTTTTCTGCCTGGCAGGCTTCTTTGGGGAAACTGAGTGAGGAATCTGCACTCTGTGTTTATCCCATGGAGGAAGTAGATCGCTTCATAACTCAAACCAGGGACCTTTGTTATACCAAGGACGGGAAAACGGAGGATGGCAGGGAGGTGGCCTACATAGAATACGATGTCAGCTCTAGCTGCGTCCAGCTCTCCGCAGTAAGTGCACTTTTATTAAATTTCTACCTCACCCGTTTCACCTAAGTGACTCTGCGAGGTTTACGACATCCCATTTATTGCAGATGGATGTAAAATCTATCCAGGGTGCAGGAAAAGTCAGTGCCCACAAGCAGTTTGTTACATCAATTACGTTAAAGGTTTGAATGGGTTGCCATTTCCTTCTAAGGGCTTAACCTATTTGTGTAACGCATGACCTTTGAATAACCTAACATTTTCTCAGAAAAAAAAATTAATAAAACATACTGCCCTTTGGGGATCGTATTTTAAGTACATCCTATGCATGTAATTCACATGGTTTTGGATGGGATTCCCAGGCAATTTGCCATTCAGGCCTTCCCAGTCACATTGTTTTCCAAGCTGAAGATCCCTCATAACTTTTAAGAAGTTTGTTGGAGGAGACATTCCAGCAAACAAGGATGATGATGATTAGATATCTGTCCCATTCATTCATTCATTCATTCATTCATCTATCTTTCTTGGTCAATTCAAGTTGGTGAACTCACCTTTTGCTCCTATCTTCTATTTTCCCCATGACAATTAGTTTTTATTTCATTTTTTAAAATTGTTATTAAAATAAGCAGCTGATAGGATTACTCTCTCTCTCTCTCTCTCTCTCTCTCTCTCTCTCTCTCTCTCTCACACACACACACACACACACACANCCCCCTTTGCGAAAACAAGGGTGGGTGTGGCCAGCATGGGATGCATCCGGCCGGTGGCCCATGAGCCTGGCACCCCTGTTCTAGGTGGTAATTGTTTAATCTCCCTAGTTGCAGATTCAACAATATTTTCTTTCACCTACTACAAACTGGTGCACATAGTAAGCTTTTGATATTTGCTAGAAAATAGAAACATTCATACAAGTCATTACAAACAATAAACAATTTTGAAAATAAAAACATCTTTCCAACAAAATACTGGGATGGGGGAGAAAGGAACACACCTTTGTTTTTGAATTATCTAACTTGCCATTCAGAAATTTTAGAAACCCTGTTGTCTTTGGTAAATTCAGTTCTACATTGGGTTCTCATTTGTTTTTTCTCCTTTTTAACACACTTGAGACACAATTTTACATTGTCTCATAAACTGATTATTACTGTTGTTTATACCTTTGCCCTACTATCCACCTAATTCCTTTTTGAATAGTTTTCATTTATCACAGGAAGAAGCCTTACCTGACACATTTAGAGTGGAGGGAGAGATATCTGGATGTCCAAGCCTGGAATCGCCCATCCACCAGACAATTGTCACTGGCTCAGGTGGTCCTACTGCAGCACAGGCCATTTGGAAAGGCCTACCAGGGATGACTGACTGGTCTTTTGGCTCAACAGTGAAATAGGGAACACCTTGAAAAATAAAATGGGAGACGTTTGCATTTTATGAACTGAAATAAATGCAACTAATTCTTTCTTAGCAGTTTATATTTAACAAAACACTAATTTTCTCTTGCTCTCACAGAATATATTTCGGTATTTGTGGCTATTTTTGTCACTTTCTCTGCAAAAAGAAGACTCCACTGTCATTTGCCGGATCAAACATGTCTTTGTATATTTTGTTACTGTAGGAATAAGTTGATCATTGAATGGGAGAAAGAAAGGAATAATTGTTTTGATACACTGCCAGGTAATTTTTGAAACTATCCTAGCCTGTCTTGAAAATTTGGAACCTGACTTATTGACTGCTTGGTAGGAAAACGGAGCAGAGAGGGGATTTTACTATCTAATCCTTCTTTCAGGTAATTAAAAGAGAAATTTCAACTGTTTTTGACAGAAAGGGGATCAAAGAAATATGGTTTCCTGACAAAGGATTAGTCTTTTCTCTTTTGTTGTGTAAACTGTATGATGAGCATTATTCAGTGAAAGCATTTTACTATGCGCGTAGATGTATATCTGACAAATAATTAAAAGATGCCAACATAATTAGAAGCATACATATTAAAAGCACCAAAATAACATGTCTCAAGTTTAGAAACTGTCAGAAGTTATACTCCTATTTTGTATTCTGACTCTGAATACCTTTCTTTGGCTACATTATAAAAATGTATTCAGAGATATAGCTGATCCTTATTCTAAACTAACCAAAAAAATAATAAAATNAAAAATGTGCATAAACAATATAGAACTTGAAGGCATGAAAGACAACAAAATTGAGATTACCAATATGGGAATACAAAAAATAACTCAGGAAAAAGATCTGGATATGGGACAGCTGCAACAGGAAAATTTGGACAATGCATTTTTTGGGGATTTACAAAGAAGGTTGGTAAAAGCTTTGAAGACTCATTTAAAATGCCAAAGAATGATGAAAGCTCAAGTGCTATGATGCCGTAGGAATGATTTAAAGGTCAATATTGAGTAGAGCAAAACTTTAATATTCCTTTAATATAAAGTTTCACTATTTGGCCAGGAATAAGCTATTTGTCTGATATTTCTGTTAACTCCTGATAAACTATTTGCTGAACCAAGATGATTTATGGATTCCATATAGGTAAGTTAGGTTATGGAGAGAACATAATTTTTTATGCGTAACATTAAAAAAGAGTGAAAAGTTAATCATCTTATGCTCAGTGTGATGAAGGTTGGAAGCTTCTTCTTTATTCTTATCTATGGTGCCTTTTTCTTTTTGCACCTTCTGAACATTTTTTGTTCTAGTTTAGCCTGTATTCTGTTCATTAAAAACTTCAATAGGACTATTTTTAAAAAAGAAAAAGAAATCCACTCTTCTCATTAATTCAACTCAGTCATAACAACATACTCGTATATATTATATTTTGCACAAGGAATGCAGCCAATCAAGCCCCAATTATATTTCCTTGCCCTACAAAAGTATTAATTATACTTAACCTACATGTTTAGTTTCTTGTTAAATAGAACAAATTGCGGGAGGATAAAAAAAATACTTTACAAGCAAAATATTGTTATGCTTTAAATGAAAGTTTAGTGCCGCAAAGTTCTAGAAAGATATAAAAGGGATGTCTTCTTGAAATGTAATTGTTCCAAACAGTGGCCTGTGCCCTTCTGCTTTCAATAGCTCATGAAAAGTGGGAGACACTTTGGCTGCCAAGANATTATGTAAAGGGACTAGCTTGGCCTTCTTAATGGCCCATTGACAAAAAAAGGGGGAAGGGAGGCAGGAAGCTGCAGGAAGTTTCGCTTTAAAACGTTTCTCCCTTTCACATTCAGGGAAATATAGTCTGCCTTTTCAACATTTCCTAGGATATTTCATTTCTCTGGGAGAGGGCTGGGTGATAACTTCCCACACTTTGTTTTTTCTTTGCTTCTCATCCAAGAAGTTCTGAAGAAGCTTCTTAGTTGAGAAGCAAAACATCTTCAACAAAAAAATAAAGAAAATCCAGTTGCCTCTTAAAAAGCATCTTTGGGACAATCATGACCTGGATGATTGAGAATCTCCATAGAAATTCCCAGTCTCCGGCTTGATGCCTTAACCACCAAACCACATACCAAACTTGCTCTCTAGAAACAAGATAGAGATTGAAAAAAGGCAGCAAAATCCATGCTGATAGTCCTCATCCAACTGAAGAATAGATGACTAGTGTTTCAATTGAGTAGTGGGGTGGGGGGAAGGGTGTAGCTTGAAACTTGCACTCATCTGTTACTCAAACGCTGGAGGAAACTGAAAACATTTTTCTAACTACAACAAAACCCTAAAGACAGAATGTTTTGTTGGTTTTAGAATAGAATAGAATAACAGAGTTGGAAGGGACCTGGGAGATCTTCCAGTCCAATCCCCTGCTTAGGCAGGAAACCCCACACCACTTCAGACAAATGGTTAGCCAACATCTTCTGAAAAACTTTCAGTGTTGGAGAATTCACAACTTCTGGATGGCAAGTTGTTCCATTGATTAATTTCTCCTCAGTTCTAAGTTGCTCCTCTCCTTGATTAGTTTCCACCCATTGCTTCTTGTCCTACCCTCAGGCACTATGGTGAACACCTCCTTCAACTCCTACTAATAAAGCATTTTGTTGTTGTTGTTGTTGCTTCAAGTCAATGTTGAGATATTGGAACATTGCTATCATGTATTTTACCTGTTTTATGATTGTGTTAGTTTCAGTAGATTACATTCAGAAAGCTTTGGATGGTGCGCAGCTTGTATTGTCTCGGGGGAAAAAAGCATTTCGATTATTTTTATGTAACTTGATTTAACCTGGTGATGGTGAGAAATGTAAACAGAACTCAGTATTTTGGCAGCAGCCAAAAGCTTTTCATCTGCGAGCTCAGCTTCCTGTTCTGTCTGAGTTTTGCACATTCAGCTGTTGGGAAAAAAAAATGTCCTTCTGGGTTCAGCTCCAAGTGGGGAAAAAGACACTGGAAACATGGAGGCTGCTTGGAAAGATGGTTTAATGGTGGACAGGTTCACATGGTTTGTGATCCTGAACAGAAAAGAGGGATCACTTGCTTCCAGATGTTGGATGAAGAAGCCAGATGTTGGATGAAGAAG